AGTACAATACTTTTCTGTTTGTCTTAGTCCCCTCTACCTTCCCATGACCGGAAGTCAAAGTCTTGCGTAGCACCCTGTATATAGGAGATTTGAATCCTCTAGGAACAAATAAACTAATCATTTTTCATTAGATTATTTCTCTAATGTATGTACAATCTTTTTGCAAAGGTTTATTTTCAACAATATTTCATCAATGATGCAAATTCTGTTAACTAAATTTATAATTTTTAGAACGCTATTCAACACAACTGTCTATAATTTTTAATTAAAAGAATTATTGCGTAAAATATTGTCTCAGCCAGGATTATCTTGGTATGTTGCAGTAATATTTTTCCCAATAATATGGAACATTCCACTTTAACATTAATAATTATTCCTTTTTTTCAATATTAATCGTTATGACTATTTATTGTTTGCTCTAAAAACTCTAAAGTGTATTAAAAATTTTTACTTTATTTTATAGAGATTTTGTTTTATTAATAAAAAAGTAAAATTATTTTAATAAGGGCTCTGATCAAAGGCGTAATTTCATGTATAAGTTTGTCTGAATCAAATACTATGTTCAAGAGATAGGGGCTCAGCAGCAGCAACATTCGACACTTCAAACTTCCAACAATAATTACAACTTATGTACCCAAGGAAAAATGAAAAGTCAAGATGACGTCAGTTTGATGTTATATTGACAAAAATATCTCGTAAATTTTGTCAATATGACATCAAATTGACATCATCTTAATTTATTTTCATTTCTTCTTGGGATATGTACTATAATATCGTTTTTTTAATTAATGACGTATATCCAGCCAGATATTCGGTATTCAGTCGGATATCCGGTATCTGGTTTCACGTTATTACCGGATATCCGACATCCGGTATCCAGTAATTTCACTAACCGGCACATCCCTAGTATGTATATGCCATTACATATTTTCTTTGAGATTATCTCAAGGAAACTGTATCATATTCAACACCACCTGTCTCACCGAAGGATAACAGCCAAAATAATGGTAGCATGAATGGTGGAATAAATAAACGGGGCAATGCTGCGACGCACTAAAGAAAATATTGTCCTCCATGCAGAAGCATGCGTTGAAGCGGGCGGTGCTAATTTTGAGCACTTACTATAAAATTAAACAGTTCTTTTCAGAGCTACAACAGTCCTTTTAAGGACTAAGGAATTTTTAAGACGATTAGACAATAGACACTTAAAGTAAAAGAAGATAATGGCAGCAACAGTGTTAACGTTGAAGTACAATAGAGTCCTGATTATCCGAGTTAATGTGGATCAGGATCATCTCGGAAAATCAACTCGGATAAACTGGAAAGGAAAAATAAAAAGTAACAAAACGCTAGACGCTTATATAAGCATGGACTGTGTTCGTAAACATCACTCGAATGCCCCTGTGTATCTTTTCATTCGGTGAATAAGGATGAAATGATACATAGGATATTCCGATAGTATTTCCGAATGCAGCCATATGAGACAAAGTGCCTCACGTTTTGTTAATGAGTCCATGGTCTAGTTGCTGAAACATACGCGGTAAGAAGGTAACAGTTCTGATTAAAAACTACTTTAAATCCATTTTTATGTCCATTTTTGCATAAAGATTGAAACGACCCCCGAAATTGTTAAAATAGCGAACCGGACTTGCTCGCCGGAACAGAGTTCGCGTAGGAGTCAGGGCACGATATAATTTAACGATAATGTAGACAAAACAGTGAGTTTATTAACTATTGAAAATCGTATGATATTTACAATGAACGGATATGTACAAATGCTCGCGCTCGCGTAGGTGACGGTTACGCAGTGTAGCGCGCGTGCGCGGATCTCGATTGTGAACAGTTTAAAGGAATCATTGAACTATAACCATACTGGAAGGAGCACTGCCTACCCCCTCCATAGGATCGAGCGGTCAGAGAGAGATAGTTGAGTTGCGACCGTGTTGTCTCTTTTTAACGTCAACTACCGTGATCGCTGTAGTTAGTTAGACAAGAATAGCACGGTCGCCACTCAACTATCCCTCTCGCACAACTCTGACCGCACGACAACAATGGAGTGCTCCTTCCAGTATGGTTATAGTTCAATGAAAGGAATACTCGCGGTTTTCGGCGCCGCGAGTACGGGCCGTATAAATGACCGATCGACGCAGATGATCGTGGCGCGAGTACGGGCCGTATAAATGGCCGATCGACGCGAATGATCGTCGGGTGAACTCGTCCGGGTTGAGATACCGCGAATAAAATGCTCGGATGTCGGTGCGGTCGTGCCGGATGCCGGTAAAAAACCGACGGGGGCGAGTCATTCCTCACCTCCTTCTCAGTCTGGACAGCCGGGGTATTTTGGATATGATCACCGGTGGACAGCGGTAAAACCCGCTGGGGGTATGTGGGTAACAACTCTCCTCGCTGTATCTGCCGGAAATGTTTTAAGGATTGCAAATCTGCGATCTTTAGAGTGGAACCGAGAACCCTCGGCAGAGGCGAGTCACTCCTCAACTCGGATTGGCGCTATCGAGCGCAGGCTTTTGTGGAAGGATTCGTGAGCGGACTTTGTTTCGGATCGAGACTAGGCTAGCGACGGAATCTGCGTTTTCGTCTCTGGCCTTGTCTTTTATACCTGTCTATCCCCAATTGTTATTACAATTTAGTAAAAATCGGTCGGTGGAGGTAGACGGACGCCGGGGGAGCGGATCCGTGCGTGTACGAGGCTCGAGACCGCGTGACAACGGTGCTCAAATGAACTGTGCACAATATTATGTGTCTAATAGCACTGTGTGCAATTGTATTGTGTCCAATTGTACTGTGCGCAATTGAAGGCTTCTCACTGGAGGTACGTGCCGACGGTGGAAAACCCTGCTGACGCTGCAACGCAAGGAATCAAGCCGCTAAAGTTGGCCGCGTTGTAACTATGGTGGGCTGGTCCGCCTTGGCTTGCCTGGCCAGAAATCAACCACATGGAACGGAGCCCTCCCACTGACGGGGCAGAAGATCAGGAATCGCGCCCGGTGTTTGCGGAGTTTGCCCGCCCGACCAACGAAGACAACGACCTCTTATCTCTATTATAGGTACTCGCTCAAGTTGCTGCGAGTAACAGCGTCCTGTTTTAGGTTCTTTCACCACGCCCGACGCCGTAACCCGAAGAGGACAGGGTTCATAACGCGGGATGATCTGGAGACAACCTGTAATCGTTAGATATGGATTGCTCAATGCAAGGATTTCTCGGAGGAAATATCCCGTCTTGAACGAGCGAGACCGCTACCTGCACGTTCACCTCTCCTTCCGCTGAGGCCGATGCTAGACAAACATGGACTGCTGCAATTGGGGAGTTGTCTGCAAAACGCCTTACTTCCATTTGCCGAGAAGCATTCGCTGATCCTGCAGAAAAGCAGCCGTCTATCGCTGCTTCTCGTAGGGGAAGCATACGCGACGACACTTCATGTGGGCCCTCAGCTTACCCGGAGTCTACTCCTCCGTAGGTATTAGATCCTGCAAGCCAACTCCCTGGTACGATCCGTTATCCACACCTGCATTTGTTGTGCTTGTTTCTGTGCAATCACCGTTGAGCAGCAAATGGGTCAGCTGCAGGCAGAACGTACACAACCTAGTCGTCCGTTTCAATCCACTGGGGTTGTCTACTTTGGGCCAGTACCTCTACGCACTTGGAAAGAACGAGGTCATAAGGCCGTTAAAGGCTATATTTGCCTCTCCATCTGTCTCTCCTCCAAGGCAGTTCATCTGGAACCTGTTTCTAACCTTTAGACTGTATCCTTTTTAGCCACCTTCCAACTATTCACAGCACGACGAGGGCATTATGAACTGCTCTTGAGTGAAACGGAACTAATTTCTAGAACGCTGCCCAAGAGCTGAGGACCATGTTTCGAGCCGCCTCCGAATTCTATAAGGAGTGCGCCGTCTCCCTGGCCAACGGCAGCACTAAATGGTCGTTCATTACTCCTGGAACTCCCTACTTCTGCGGCCTGTGGGAAGCAGGCGTCAAAGCGGTTAAATACCACTTGACGCGTATTATCAGAGATACCAGTTTCACCTACGAGGAGATGGCGACACTTCTGGTGCAAATAGAAGCTTGCCTCAGCTCGAGGCCCCTATGTCTCAGCAACGACCCGATGGACCTGCACGCTCTCACTCCCTGTCATCTACTCATGGGAGAACCGCCGGTGTACATACCAAAGCCCTCCAGAGCAAACGTCGATGTTGATAGTCTGACATCTCGCTGGACCCTAACCTCTGCTATAAGGGACCATTTCTGGAGGAGATGGTCATCGGAGTATGTCCACCACCTACAACAACTCCGGAAGTAAACGAAACGAGCACCTAACTTGACGGTGAGCAGCCTTGTATTATTTAAGAACGAACTACAGGCCCCGACTAAATAGACGCTGGCACGCATCGTTGCGCTCCAACCTGGCACAGACGGTCTCACCCGTGTGGTCAGCGTGCGAACCGCAAACGCCACCTTTAAGAGACTGATCACTAACAATTAACACTACCCAAGTGTCGGACCGGGATTGACTTCTACCTATGTATATTTTGTAGAGAATCGACAAATATTTGATATGTATTTTTTGTTTTGGCAGACATGATGTTTTAAGGAATAAAAATGGGGGTTGAAGTATTGATTATTTAATAATCTAATGAGATTTAAGCAAACCAGTGGATTCATGAAGAAAATGAATACGGGAATGAAGACAAGGTGTTGGAAGGTAATTATTAATGAAAGAAAAAGTAATTTTTTATTGTTTAAACAATTATTGTTTAAACGTTTTGTTGCAAAATGTAAAATACGGAAAGATTAATAGTGCCATTCGATTCAATGGTAAAAATTGAGTCGAGACTATGTCTTAAAATTTGTTGTAAAACATTCAATTTGTTGTAAAAACTTAATAAACAATTTTTAACTCTAATTTGGGTCAATTAATGAGCAGGTAAGTTCTTATTTCAAGAAAGTGCATATTGTGTCGTGAGGATCAATATGCTGTTATTATGAATGCAGTAGAGTTGAAATAGAGTTGAAATTCGGGAATGTTCTACAAAGCCGCGCTCTAACCGAAAGATATCTCTCTATCGCCTACGCGCTCGCATGCGATCCTTTATTGTGAAGACCAATGACTATTGCGTAATAAGGGTGTGTAAGGATATTTCCCAGTCTCTCTCAGAAGAGAGGGGACGGAGAGGGAATCGGATGGTAGGTTGGCGTTTTCGGGAAGGTCCGAGATAATAATTGAATAAAACACTTTCTGAACTCACGATTGGCTTTAATTTATAAGTAACAACCGCTTACGCTACTTAAGAGGTACACTCAAGACTCTCAAGATAGATCCGCATGCTATCTCTTCACAAAGTCAAAAAGATTACATTAGTAGATTGACACGTTTGACCACAATGAACGTTTTTATACATTAAACTTTTGTGTTCAGCATCTAACATCCTAGGTTGGCTTTCATTGCTTTCCTTTCTTCTTTTATTTGTTTTGTTATCAGAGCCCTTGGACCATATTCATTCGGCAATTTAAAAAGATTCATATAATAATTTCGTCCTTTTTTATTAGGTTTTTTATACATAAAACAGATAAAAACATGGTATTGTTAAGGCTATTGCTCTTTATAAGTAACCGTTTAATTATTTGATTTTTAATCATCACTCCATCAAAGAATTACCCTTGATTTTGCAAAAAGAAAATTGTAGAATTAACTCAGAACATAACATATTAACTTATAAATGAAAATAATATCTATCATTTACGTTTAATAGTATTATTTATTAATTTAATTTTTTGAAAACATACCTTTAACAAAGGAATCATTGTTTGGTCGGCAAAGACATTAAGCAAATGTGTGATGGTATTAATTGCTCGTGTGATTATTTGCAGACCGAGGAGAGTAGTAGCACATTTGAGAAAACGTGTTAAAACATTTATCGGTATGTCCTGGATGTAACAACGCTGTGAGAATAATCGTATAATTTCATTATAATACGATGTAACAATGATATGTGCACTCTTCTTTAGGTTTGCTTCAACAGATTCGATAAATCTGCAATATGAATTTTTCTTGTATTTATTTGTATTGTAAGCAGATAAAAAGTTTGATATATCATAAACACACTTAAGTATGCATATAGTGTTTATTAACTAACTATAACTAGTTCAAATTTTTCTGGGAGCAATTATATTTTTCTTAAATTTGTATTTGATAGAAAATGTGTTTGGATCTAATTGTGAAATAAGTTTTTATTGCAAAAACTATAAAAAATATAAGTTTTGATTACAAAAACTATAATAAAATGACAAATTAAAACTGTTTATAAACTGTTTTTATTTTAAGATTATAGAGTAAGGCTCCAATAAAACAATATTAAAGTTAGTTTTCTGATTGAGTTGTTGGGTTATTAGCTGGAAAAACGGCAATGACTCCATATCACAATTGATGATACAAAGAGTCTTTATTCGGAGAGCGAATACAGATAATTTCGAACGTGGTTGCTTGCGACAAAAGATATACGAGTATATGTATATGTATATGTATTAACCATTGTCTTTTTCTTTTCTAAAATATCCGTTAAGATTTATATGTTTTGACCTTGCGAACAAATGACTAAGTATTGGTAGGTTGACATTGTAATTTGAGAACAACGAACAATACGTAACTCGAGAGAACAAAGGAATTCCTAAATTATTAAAGTGTAAATGTCTAGATTCTTATATGTGATGCGAGGAGATTCGATATTTGTATCAATATAGAAATAAAGATAAATGTAGGTATATAGTCCACGGCAATCCATCGGCTCTTAACTCTTTATCCTCAGACTACTTTCGAGAATCAAAATATAAATTTAATTGTTTGACACTCGTGGTCTTACAGCGTATACTTGGCCTTTTTGTACATTTTTAATAAGCTAATTTTGTTAGATTTAAGTCACAACGTTTTGAGCTCTTTATCGGGT